ACCATTGAGGAGATTCCGATTCCGACAAAAGATGTTTGAAACTCGACCTCGTGATTCTTGTCTGGTTTCAACGCTTTTCACCATGCCAAGCCATAAAGAAACCAAATGGAGCTTTTTGATTTCCGGGAAACGCCCATTTCTCAACAACGACGATGAGACCGATCTTCTTCTTCTTCACCACAACAAGAGCAAGAAGAAGATTCAGACTGATTACTTAAACGGTTGTTCTGCGGCTGCGAGCGATGGAGATAACGGATCTTCGGATTCGGGTTCGCTAATCCCAGGGATGAACAAAGACGATTCAATCACCTGTTTGATTCGTTGCTCTCGAGCTGATTACTGCTCCATTGCTTCAGTGAATCGGAGCTTACGTGCCCTGATTCGAAGCGGAGAGATTTACAGACTCAGGAGACTACAAGGGACGCTCGAGCATTGGGTTTATTTCTCTTGCCATCTCAACGAATGGGAAGCTTTTGATCCGAGATCGAAACGGTGGATGCATTTGCCGAGTATGCCACAGAACGAATGTTTCAGGTATGCAGACAAAGAATCTCTAGCTGTAGGAACTGATTTGCTTGTGTTTGGTTGGGAAGTGAGTTCCTATGTAATCTATAGATACAGTCTTTTGACCAACTCTTGGTCTACTGGGAAGACTATGAACATGCCTAGATGCTTGTTTGGCTCTGCTAGTTACGGGGAGATTGCGGTTTTAGCCGGTGGTTGCGATTCGAGCGGTAGGATTCTTGATACTGCTGAGATGTATGACTATGAGGATCAGACCTGGTCGGTTTTACCGGGGATGAACAAACGGAGGAAAATGTGTTCCGGTGTGTTTATGGATAAGAAGTTTTATGTCATTGGTGGGATTGGTGTTGGGGAAGGGAATGAGCCAAAGGTTTTGACTTGTGGGGAAGAGTTTGACTTGAAGACTAGGAAATGGACAGAGATTCCTGAGATGTCGCCACCGAGGTCGAACCAAGGGAACGGAATGTCTGCAGCTGTGATGGCTCCTCCGCTTGTTGCGGTTGTGAATGACCAGCTTTACGCGGCTGATCATGCGGGTATGGCTGTTAGAAGGTATGATAAGGAATGTCGGGTTTGGATTAAAGTTGGGAATTTGCCTGAGCAAGCGGGTTCGATGAACGGTTGGGGTTTAGCGTTTAGGGCTTGCGGGGATCGGGTTATAGTGATTGGTGGACCAAAGGCTCCAGGTGAAGGATTCATTGAGCTTAACTCATGGGTTCCAAGTGATGCTACACCGCAATGGCATTTACTCGGAAAGAAACAGTCGGTTAACTTTGTATACAACTGCGCGGTGATGAGCTGTTGAAGAAGTGAAAAAACCGCGAAAAATTTGTTGTTTGGATAGAGAATTTTACTGGGAGAAATGTTTGGATTTAGCCGTCTTTAACAGGGTATAAACACACAGGCTTATTAGTTATTAATATATCAAATTCCAGGAGATTGTTGTTCTGTTACTTATTGTAATTGTCTAGTTTCATGTTTCCTGCTGAATCCTATCTTTTGATCTTACACTTCAATGGAGATGTTTCTTCTTTGCACTTGTTACATTAGCTCTTAGATCTTTCTCTTGCTCTAAAGATTCCAAAGTCTTCATTCTTGTCTCTTGTAAGCAATTACAGCTTAAAGTGTGATTTAAGTGTGATCACATCTTAATATAGAGTAACATAGTAGATCACCACAATTTGCTACTTGTTTTATCGTTTTGTGCCTTTATTGATTACACATTTACTAATAAACTAATTAAAAAAAGGAAAACATGAAAGTTATTGATTCAATCGAGTACTTTAATAAGTCCAAAGTCTCTTGAAGAATTTATTCACATTCACTAGCAGCTGCATCAACTCTAAAAGCATATTTATTCCTATCGAATCTTCAACTGTTTGATTATGCTTGTTAGAACAATTGTTTAATAAACAATTAAAATGGTGAATGAGAAATTTGTATCCCACATCGTTTGTAGGGGGAGGAATAGTATAACATATAAGTGTGTTAGCATTAGAAGTGTTCACAATTAAGAACACACATGCATTTTGGAGGAGACAAGGCAAAGCCCACGCGCGCCGAGGCGAAGGTGA